GGGGCTTAAGCACTGCATCACTGTGCCAGCCTCCGACGTGAACTTTTTAATTTCATTTTCCATACCCTTTAAGTGCCCTCATATATTCAGCACATCGTGCATCTACCACCAACATCCTTTCGCAGAATGCTTTTATGTTACAAAGCTGGAACTCTGTACCCAGTAAGCGGTGCCTTCTTCCCCATATACCCCCATGCCCTAGTGATCACCATCACTTTCCATCTTCTGGGTCCCTACAGCAGTTGTGTTTTTATGACTGGCTACTTTCACTTAGCCTGATGTCCGTCCTGAGCCCCTCTCTGTGTCACAGGCCATGATGCGGTGGGCCATGTTGCTGCCCGAGATGCCAAATACCATATTGGAGCATCAGTTTGAGTCCTGACTGCTCCATTTTGGATCCAGCTCCCCCATAGGCTTGGGAAAGCAGTAGAAGATGGCCTAACTGTTTAGACCCTTGCACCCATGTGTGAGACCAGAAGTTCTAGGCTCCTGACTTTGGTCTGTTCCAGCCCTGGCAAATGCAACCATTTGTGGCATGATTCACCAATAAAAATACATGCTCTTTCTGCTTTTCAAACAAAAACAAAACAAACAAAAATCCCCCCAAAGCCAAAAAAGAAAACTTTCTTTAAAAATGTGCAAATTTCATTTAGAAGTTGAACTGAAATTTTAAGTATAAAAATAGAAGATGACATTTTGACATAACAAGTTTAACCTGCAATCCATGATGCTGGCATACCCATACATGATGTCCTAGCTGGTCCACTTCCAATCCAGCTCCCTGCCCCAGCAAGGTAGTTGAAGCTGAGCCAAGTTCTTGTGCCCCTGCCACCCGCATGGGAGACCCCGATGGAGTTCTTGGCTCTGGGATCCTGACCCACTTCTTGCCTTTGCAGCCATTTGGGAAATGAATCAGTGGATGGAAGATCTCACAGTTCAAAACCTGTGTTACAGAATATCCAGAAGTTTGCAATTACCTAATCCATAAAAGCTTGGTAGAACTACTAATAAAATCAGGCATTGGTGAGTACAGTGTTTGAAAACTTTTAGACTGTATTTTATATAATCTATAACTATTTATAAAGTAGTTGTAGAACTAATCATATGTGAATTGAATCAATTTTGGGTAGGCTTTATTTTTCTGTTCTATTTCCATTACCTCCAACTTGCAAGTTTATCAGTATACATTTTTTTTCCTTCAGATTCCAGTATTTGTTTATTCTCTGAAGCAAGTCTAAGTGTAACTTCCTGCTCAACCCTATGGTGCTTTTATTATCTTATAGAAAAACAAATTTGCTCTTTCAAATTTGATCCTGTGTATTTCGTGTTGGGGTTCTATTCTCATATTTCTGACTTCCTTATTTTTACTTTCTTTGGATTTATCTTATGATCAAATATAAAAAATAAAAGATGAGAACAAAAGTGAACAAAGTCTAAGAGAATTCTATATCCAACAGCTGGAAAATACACCCTTTTTTCTCAGGCACGTAACAACTGTTCAAAACGATCTGATCCTACAGAAAACAAATTCAAATTTCAAATAAGTATTACATGATCTAACATCCATGGCTACAGTATAACTGAACTACAGCTTAAGGAAAAGATATTGGAAGTAATAAAACATAAAATATTAAATAACCCCTGTAATTTAAAAATCACAAAAGGAAATTGGAAGACTAAAACAAATTACAATGGAACTAGTATATATCAAAAGTTACAGGTGCATCAATAGCTATTCTTGGAGAAAAATTTTTCTTTTTTTTTTAATTAATTTATTTTTATTGCAAAGTCAGATATACAGAGGAGGAGAGACAGAGAGGAAGATCTTCCATCTGATGATTCACTCCCCAGGCAGCAATGGCCGGTGCTGAGCTGATCTGAAGCCAGGAGCCTGGAGTCTCTTCTGCGTCTCCCACATGAGTGCAGGGTCCCAAGGCTTTGGGCCGTCCTCAACTGCTTTCCCAGGCCACAAGCAGGGAGCAGGATGGGAAGTGGAGCTGTCAGGATTAGAACCATTAGCAATATGGGATCTTGGTGCGTTCAAGACGAGGACTTGGTAGCTGCTAGGCTACTGTGCTGGGCCCAAATTTTTCTCTTTGTGTGTGCAAATACAAAGAAGACAAAGAAGAGTTTCAAATCTATTGAGGTTAATGTTAAGAAGTTAGAAAAATAACAGCACAAACTTAAAACAAATGGGATATGGCAGGTAATTTTTTTTAGGGTAGAAATGAATGCTATCTAAAGGAATCAAAATACGACATTCAGAAGCCTTAACTCAGGAGACAAACCTCTGGTAAGACTGATGAAGGAGAAAAAAAGATGAGAACAATCTCATTCACGAAGAAGGGGAACAGATAAAATCAATAAACATACCAAATCTAACCAATTAGATAAGGAAACTAACATGAACACTCATGTCAGAATCATTTTGTAAAGAAATGAAAGCAGAGATTTTAAAGTGCTGATTTTTTTTTTTCCTTCAAAATAAACAAATCTAAAATAGCATGACAGGCAAAGTACCGAAAATCTCTCGGTCAATGGCCCCTGTCACTCAGGAGTACATACGTGAAAACTCTTGAGTACTAAATCAAGTTTATGTTTATCCCAGTGAAGAAAAGATTGTTTAAAGGTTGGCTGAATAGTTGACAAATCGTATTTAATGCATTAAGAAAAACTATATGTTGATCTAATTCACTTAAAAAAAAAAGACTTAGTAATGAAACATAAAACCTCAGTCTGTTAAAGCACAACTTTTAAAACAGGGAAAATAAAAGTAGACATCAATTTGATGTTGGAAATGTTAGATAACCTTATTAAAATAAGAAATGCGGGGTCAGAAACAGGTTAATCTGCAGCCAGCAACGTTGGATTACCATGTGGGTACCAGTTCCTGTCCCAGTTGCTCTACTTCTAATCAAGCTCCCTGCTAATGTGCCTGGGACAGCGACCACAGATGGTCCAAGGGCTTGAGCCTTGGGCTAGCCATGTGGGAGACCTAGAAGCAGCTCTGGTTCAGCCTGAACCAACCCTGGCTATTGTAGACATTTGGGGAGTAAACCAAGCCAGGAAGGCTTCCTTCTTACTCTCTTCTTCATCCCACATTTTCGATTAGAAACCAACCTAGCTCATTTCACCCTCAAAGCATCTCTTAAATCCTGTCCTCTCCACTCCCAGTTCAATATCCCCACCCCTCTCGACTCTTGCCAACTCTTTCTCCCAGTCTCCCAGCTTTCCTTTCGGCCTATAGAGGTAACTGAACTCGTTTTTCTAAAGTACAAAGCAGATCAGACCATTTCCTTGCCAGGAACTGAGAAACAAAACCCACGGCTGGACTCCAAGATAGGGTAGCTACTTTCCCAAAGGTGCATTTCAGACCTTTTCTTTTCTTTTCTAAGATTTATTTTTATTGGAAAGTCAGATCAGATTAAGAGAGAGGGATTTTCCACCCATTGGTTCACTCCCCAAGTGGCCACAACAGCTGGAGTTGAGCCAATCCAAAGCCAGGATTCAGAAGCCTCTTCTGAGTCTCCCACAAGGGTGCATGGTCCCCAGGGTTTGGGCTGTCCTGTACTGTTTTCCCAGGCCACAAGCAGGGAGGTGGATGGGAAGTAGAGCAGCCAGGACATGAACTGGCACCGACTTGGGATTCCAGCACTTGCAAGGTAAGGATTTAGTTACTGAGCCATCCTGCTGGACCAAGACCTTCTTTTATTTCCTTACAGCTAAGCCAGGCGAACATCATCAAAAATGAAAGGATACTTAAGGACTAACCAAAGGAACACCAGAAGATTCCTTCTTGCCTGACGCCCCATTCTTAGTAATTGCAACAGCCCACCACACTGTCAGGCATTGCACTCAAGATTTGGGACTGTTCCTCTGGTACTTCCAGGTAACCACTCAGTGGCCTTTGCGAAGACTAACAAGACGCAGTGCAGCCCCCAGACCCTCTGCTCTCAACTCATTTCCAAGACATCAAAATAGCTCCTAGAAAGATTTAGGGAGAGAAGTATTCCCAACTACAGTTCCCCTCTTGCTTTTTAACTCCGCAACACTTCTCTAATGGCAGTGCTTCTAACCAATGTAATTGTCCAGGATATCTATTATCACAGCCTTGGATTTGAATTCCATTTGGGACAGAGCTTTGCTTTTTTTAAAGCCTGTTTGCCTTTTCTCTCTCAGTGTAGGTGGGATGCTACTGGGCTTGACAGGCTGCAGCTGGAATCAAATGAGCTGAACGCATGGGAGACGACAGTGTCCCAGGAAGTACGGGGTGCAGTGCTCCTACCTGCCATGCCACTTGGGGTTGCACAGCTGGTACTCAACTGGGACATGGACACTCCACGGATGTCAAGTTTCTCCAAGTAGCTAAAGCCAAGATTCCTTTCACGGAGAATGCCAGAGACTTCTAACATCTGGTTCCATAACATCTGCAATTCAGTTAGAAGCAGGCACAGCAGCCAAAGGACAAGGTCCTACCCTGCTGTCTAATCCCTAAGTCAGTGAGCACAAAGGGCAGGGAATACGACAGACCAGTCAGGGCTGGAGCCACAAAGTGCTTCTCTCCCGGAGTTTCCAGGCCCCTGGGCTCCCATCTATAAACCTTCCGGGTCTGACCCCATGAAGTCTTTACCCACGACTTTCACCTACCCTTCTCAGGCAGCAGTGAGCGACGAGCACCTGGCAGTGCCAGAGACAGGAGCAGGGAGGGGTGAGTGGCCTTCACACCAGGATTCCTACAAGGTGTACCCTTCCATTGTGACACAGGCGGAAGAACTGCTGTCTCTTGCTCCAGCATTGAGTTCGGGATAGAGGGGAGCAATCGGCCAAGGGACGCACTTGAAGATGCTGCGTCATGCTTGCTCACGAAGGAACAGCAAAGGGACAGAGCAACCACGGAAAGGGGGAACACAAAGGGAGCCATAGACGCTTCTAGAAGGAGTGAAATTGCTTGACTTGCCCCTCTCAGGGGTCTGACTTCAGAAAATGAAATTACAAAGTCATCATCACATCCTAGATTTATTACAACTGACCTGCAGGCAGAAGGATAGAACTATTACATAAACACTTTGATTTCATGTATATATCTTAAATAGAGGAGGAATTCAAACAAGAATACAGGATAAAATATTCCAAAGCTCCAAGAAGCAGTTATGTTACTGAGCTCCATTTTTACAGACAAATAAGGCAATATCCCTGCACATTAGCTTTTGGATAATTTTTTTATACATTTTTTTATGGTACAAGAGAAAAATAACCAGAGCTCACAATGTACAGTTCTTACACTATTTTCACAGTTTGTGAACACTATACACCCTTTTGTTTTTAATAAAGATACACTGTAATAAATTCCTTGCCCTTAAATTGATAGTTTATAATAATCTATGATTAATACACTAAAATTGCTTTTTTATGTGGTCATCCACACAACACAACGGTCAGATTAGCTCCTGGACAGTCAGAATTGCTTTCAGCTCCATTTGCATAATGGCAAAGTGACCCTAGGCTGAGCCAGACAGGAAGTTGACAGCAGAGAAACCAATTCCTCTTGGGTCCCTGGGAGCAATAGAGGGTGATGGCTCGGTGCGGTGGCAGGAAGACACAGAACGATGCCCCCCTTCCAGAACACTGGGAAGTCTAAGCTTTGGGGAGCCGGGGGGCGGGGGAGAGAAGGAGATCAGGCAGGTGGATCGGACAGAGAAATCGTTTGTATTCTACAACTTACAGGGATGTGACTTTTAAACAGCACCATTCTCCCTTTGTTGTTGGATAGTCTGTAGGACTGTCGCTCTGGGAGGACACACAGCAGTACCTGCCACAATCTGGTTCTGCACTGGCATCGCCATGGCTGTCCTGAATTCCAGTGTGCTTGAACCACTCGCACTGCTGCCCAACTGCTAGACAAAGCGCAATGCTCAGTGCCAGGGAGACCTGGGCAAAACCCAGTGAGACGCTGGCTTGCAGGGAAGCGAAGATGCACACCTTTAAATGGCTGCCTTTAACTCCTTGGGGTACATGTCTTGGTAAATTCCCATACTCAGAAGTGACAGTGAAATGACTAGAAACTGGAGCAGGTGAGGAACTTACCTAAAGGACTGCCATTTCAGATCCCCACCCGATCAACACAACGTCTCAGACACAGAGGCCTCCTCATCACCTCCCACATCAACAGGGCAGCCCATGTTCTCAGCCTTTCAGATAGTAGAGGCTAAGAGAGATCTCGGGGCTCAAACTTCCTTGATCAGGAACATCCCTGGTCATTAGAAAGAGTTTTTTTTTTTTTTTTGATACAGAAGAAGGAGGGAAAAAAAGGCTAAATATTTTGGACTAAGCAAAAAATCACACACAGCGGCAATAACAGGCCACAGGAAAGGGGAAAGAGAATCATAAACTAAATAACCTGGGCCAGTGATGGCAAGAAGCAAACAATGAGATTTGGTCTTTGCTGCCTATGAGAACCTCTTCAATCAAGGCACATCGCTCCTGGCTCCTTCTCCCTGTTGGTGAGTTAGAATAGCTAATGCTAACAGGTCTGCAACCAAGGGCAAGCGTATGTAGCTGCTACAAGGCGTTCCGGATATGGTATTAGAATTGAAAACACCTGTAAACGTTGCCCTCCGTTATTTTTTTTTTTCTTTCAGTCCTGGTGGGTTGTGGTAGGTAGGGCATCAAGTTGGCAGTACACTGAATTCAGAGAGTGAAAAAAAAAAAAAGCCTCTTAGGATCAGCACCTTCTTTGACAAGTGGCAGACTCCCTGAATCTTCCCAAAAACAAAGCAGAAGGACTGGTCAAAGGAGATTAAAAAAACAAAAACAAAAAACCCAAAACAAAACCAAAAAAACCACATTCTGTCCTGTCTCAATATTTTAATGTTCACCTCTTTGAATGCAACATGATTTTTTTTTTTGGTAAAGATGAATGCATTCTAATTTAACATGATATTCTGAACGGGAAATTTGGCTGAGCACATCGAGCCCCACACGTCGACTGGTGAGTGTAAAGCAACAGAATGTCACATCAGTACATCTATTGCACTTGGTGAAGAAGGCCAACTCCTCCTTTGTCTCCCAGCTCCAGAAGGCAATGCGTCTCATTGGCTACGCCAGGTCTTCTCACTCCAGCCCGAGTCCTGACGTTCATACCTAATACATCCATCGTCGTGTCCTGCCAGGAGTTGGAAGTCTGACAAAAAACAACATTCCAGTAGCTGCGTCTCCAGCTCTCGAGTCTAGAAATGAATTTTTTTTTTTAAAGGTGTGATCTCATCACGGCCAGCGACTTGATCGTATGGACTTCCACGTTTCATATGAGTTCTGTTCATCACAGAAGAGCAGGATGAGGTCTCTCTGACCAGCACTAACACTGTGTGACCAATCAGGTATTACAGGGACGCACGTTCTAGGTGACAGAGCACACAGACATGATGGAAATGAACACCAATCTTATTGCACATGGTGTCTAGGCGAGCAATAAAAACACTGTGATACGGGATGAAAACTCTTTTACGTCTTGCTTCCTCAGCCCTTTTTCTCTAGAGTCTGATGTAGCAGCGATATCAATCGACGTACATGGGAGAGCTGGGAGTGGCTGGCATTTGATCCAGGATTTTACAAACGTAGCATGCGACCTCAACGGTACGTTCCTCATACATCAAAATAAAGGGATGTTTCTGTAAGAAAAGTGAAAGGGGAAGAGGAAAAGAGAGAGGGAAAAAAAAAAAAAAAGGAGCATGTATTAGAATCCAAACTGAACTTCTCCCAGTTTCTTTTACAGCAAAGAAACTGCATTACATATGGTCATAAGTAATGGTGGCTCCACGGGTTCAGAGAGACAAGTGGAGGCAACTTTACTTCATGCACACAGGTCGGTGGGCAGAATACGTGGCATTAGGGTTAATGGGTGCCACCCTGGCAGTAGGCCTGTGAACTCATCAGTGCAGCAGGCTGAGGCAGAGAGCAGGGCTGTTGGAACACGGCGGGAGCCTCCATCACCCCAGCTGAGAGCCAAGAGGCATGACATGAATGCCGCTCGCCGTTCCCTTCACTGCATGGTACACAGCCCAAAGCTGCCCTCCAGGCTCCTGCCCCATCCTCTCCAGAGCCTAGCGCTGGGACCCGCTGCCCTCGCTCACGTTCTTATACTTCACTTGGACCACAAGTTCTCACACACCACTTGGCTAAGTTTGATAACTCTACCTCTGCACAATTGTTGCTGGGATGACTGCAAATTACATATAATATCCTTGGGGAAGCTCAACGTTATAAATAAACGGATGTTAAAATATCCCCCACACTTCCTTCGCTGCCTGAAGCAGTGTCACACCCAGCGGACTGTGACGGAGGACTTTCACAGAAATGCAAATTCGTTGTATGATGTAAATTCACTCGTGCTTTCTGATAAAGGCAAAACTAGTGCAAACTAATTTGTTTTAAGGATATGTTTCATATACACATACGGTGCATAAGGTGAAAGCTAGAATTCTTTGGGGGGTAACTGTTCTATATTTTAAGACCAAAATTTTCCATGAGAAATTAGTCCATCAGTAGGAAAAATAGAACTATGGATTTTTCCGATCCTAGCATCTTTATCCAAAAAGACGCTGGGTGGGTACTGTGGCACTGAGGGTAAGCCACCACTGAAGTTGTCTACATCCCATACCAGAACACCAGATGGCAGCCCCAGCTACTCCTGTCCGTCAGCTTCTCACTCATGATGGTTCAGCGTCCCTCCCACCCATGTGGGAGAAACCAGAGTTCCAGGCTCCCAGCTTCAGCCTGGCCCAGCCCGGGTTGTTGAGAACATTTGGGGAGTAAACCAGAGGTTGGAAGATCTCTCTCCTTCTCTTTGCCTTTCAACCAAATAAACATTTTCTTTTTTTTGGCAATAAATAAAGCATCCTAGAGGAGAGTGAAGGCAGGCTGATTACAGAGGATGGAGACGCATACTGCTTTCTTTGTGACTCAGCACGCCAGCAGGCTCTGCAGGGCGAGGACACACCTAAAATGCCCAGTTCACACTCACCAGAAGTTCCTTATACTTTGGCCTTTTGGATTCATCCTTCGTAAGGCTAGAATAACATAAAAACAATGTTAATGAAACGGAGGCACATTCATTCTACTGTTTCTTTCACCTACAAAACACTGCACTAAAATCTAGCTGTTGGTTTTTTTTTTTTTTTCCTTCAGAGCCAAAAGTAATAAACAAAGCAGATTAACTGCTAAACACCACAAAGTGTGAATATAAAATCAGGTGGCCTAAGGCTATTCAGTACACGATCATTAGTGAAGAATCAGGAAATAGTTCATTGTCGAAAAATGACTACCTTATGGTACAGCCGCAAGAATACTAGCTAAGCCGCAGGTAGGGATGTGTGGCCCTGCCAGGACAAGCGCAGGTGGGGTTCGGAAGTCAGCAAGTCTGTATCATGCTTATTTTTAGGTCAACAATCTTGTACTGTTCACCAGTGATATTTTTTTACAAATATCTAAATGGTCTTTGGTAGGGGGGGAAAAAAAAGTTTCCCACCCCTGTAGACTGAAAGCATGTGTAAGCATAAAATTACGTATCCAATCACGTTCATGTTTTTTCGTAAATGTGTGAATGTCTGCCTGCCCATGCGTCCATCCAGAGATTACCCAGGAGAAAACAGCAAGGAAGTGATTCTGAAAGGTAAACTACAACATAAATTTTACTAGTGAATCTTAAGTTTTGGAAAGTTTTCATACTCTGTATCTCAATGTTAATATATTTTGGTCCAGAAGTTTAAAACTCTACAGCATCACTAAGGATTGTCTCAACATAAAAAGATTTCTGTTGGGTTGACATTTTCTCCTTGAATTTTCCTTCATCTGATGAAAGATGCCAAAAGTATTTTTCTTGGGTTCGTATTTTACCCCATCCATCTTGATTCCTATTTTAATTACCGAGTCCCTTCAAACGTTAATCAAATTCATTTCTTACGATCAAAAGTTGTTATTATTGACAACATGGCTTAGCTGTTCCTGAACCCACTGCTGTTTCTGATCCCATGTTGTTGGTTGTGGTGCTATGAGGTTTCCGTCTTAAAGAATGAAGGACTTACTCTTCCAGTGCCGGGAATGCTGTTGGCAGACAACCCCTTACTGTTGTCTCTTCAAGGACACTTGAGCAGAGGAAAAGCAAACGCATCCTTTTTAGGGTGGCTTGTCTTTAAGGACAGCCACAAAAGGGTAAAATGTAACCTTCTCACCGAGCTCAGCTGCTCCCCTTGCCCAATGCTGCTTCCTTCTCAGGGCTGGCTCTCACCCCCAAGTCATCAACATCACGTTTTCTCACATTCATTTTTGTCTCAAACGTCTGACTGCTATCATCAGCCTAAAGGACACCTTGCTTCCAGGTCAAGTTTTCTTCTTGATCAAGGCTATTGCTCGACAACTGCCTAGAAATGGAAAACCCTCAGCTTTTCTGATCCTGAAAAGGTTCCTATTTCTCCCTGATTTTGAATGCTACTCCAAGGCCAGAGAAGGAGACTTCAGGACTAGGCTGACAGTTGTTCTCCTCCAGCATCCAGGACTCACCCCAGACAACAAGATTTCTGCCCGTTTGATTATCAACCCTGAGCATCTGATCCATTTTTTCCCTGTTTTTACTTCATCATTGTTCTGCCACTTTGCATATGCACATTTGCATAGCCTTTTCTTTCCGTGTAAGACACCTGTCCCTAGGTCAATTTTCAAGTGTTTTCCGGGAATACTTCAAACACTGCTCAACTCTCAAAGGAGCCTGTCTTCCCAATACATTCACCTTAGGATCTCTCCCTTGGCTTTTCATGGGTCCTTATTCTTAACTTCATATTTTTTCCAATCTATTTTATGCTGGGAAAACTCCATAGTTTTACATTTTCTTAACTCCTTCTCTAAAAATGTAACACACGTGTAACCATTATACATATTATAGGGTGTCATGTGACATTTTGAAACATGGATGCATTGTCCAAGTCCAACCTGGTCAATATTGTCTGTCTTCTCAGAAATTTAACATGTAGGTATGGTGAAAACATTCAAATTGTATCTGCTAGTATTTTAAAAAACAAGTAATCTGGAGTAAACTCCCGTCACCCTACTCTCCAAGAGCCCTGAATTTTCCCAATTTCTCCCAAGTCCCCAGTAACTGCCATTATGCTTCTAGCTTCTATGAAATTACCAAAGATGAGATGGTTTATTTCACAATGACCTCCAGTAATTCCATGTGTGTTGCTATAAATGACAAGATGTCATCTTTTTTACGGCTGACTAGTATTCCACTGTGTGTCTGTAACACACATTTTATTCATTCAGCTCAGTGGGTGGCCTTGCCTACTCCAAATTCACCTAACCCAGTTTTCTAATTATATCCGGTTTAGAGTACATCAAGTCTGGTGTGCCTTTTATAGCAATAGCTGTGTTTTTTTTCATTTCCTTGACTTCAGATTAAATAGTTTTCATATCTGTTTCACTTCTGTTTTATTTCTTTCTTGGTTTTAATGGAACTTATACTTTTATAAGTTTATTATAACTTACAAAGCATCCTAAATATTCTTATTTTCAGCTACAGTGTTATTTGGCTATCCCATCAATTTATTTGAACTTGAAGTAAATTCGGGTTCTGTTTTATTGGGTGCTTTTGTTAGCATCTGACTTTATGAATCTTGGAATTTTGGACTAGTGACTCATTCTGGAAGGATGTGAGTACTTTCCATGCATATTTGCTCAAAAGATAGTTCAGTGCCTACCAAGTACTGCCACCTGACCCTGGAACATCACACCGAGTTATCTCATGGCTTCCTCCTCTTCACAGAGACACCAGTTCAGAACCAGGTCCTCCAATGAACCTTTCAACCAGGCCTGTGTTGACGGAGAATGGTGACAGCTGGTATTCCGTACCTGTTATCTTTGCCCTGCTGCAGTCACAGCTTATGTAGGCTGTGGGCCAGGCCACAACTGAGTCCAGTATTATTTATTTACTGGGGGCGGGGAGGCACTCCAGATACTTGCTCCTATACAATGAGTCTGTTTCTGGTCTGTGCATAAACAACACTTGTAGGACTTGGATTCTACAGTGAACAAGGCCCCAGCTGTCAACTCCTACTTCTAGACAAGGAATACAGTGAGCCCAAAGCTTCGGACTTACGTAACATTTCATGAGTATTTCTACTGCATGTTTTTCACCCACACGGATGGCTTATTTGGTAAAAACTCTCCTATCTTTTTGTTTTTTCCATTTCATTTGGTGTCAACATGAGGCTAACTGAAGGAAAATCTTTATTATTATTATTATTATTATTACTTCTGTTGTTTTCCCTACATGGTTTTATAGGTGAAGAGATTACTGCTCTCCACCCCTCCTTTTTCCCTTCCCAACCTCCGCACACACACTGTGTTCCCCTTGCTGTTGTTCTTCAGCAGCAGTCACAAGCCCAGCATTCTGCTACTTACTGCATCATGGCATTGTGGCTATAGCAAATGGTGGAAAGTCTAGTATCCAGCTGTCAAGGCAGGTGTCACAGTTTCCTTGGGAGTCCTTCTATTCGCGAGTAGTGATGCACACTGCGATCCAAATTCCTATCAGTAATGATTGTTTTGTCTCTCAATTGTCACTGACAGCACTAATCTGCTACTGGTAATATAACCCCAATTAATTAGACTATCCAATAAGTGAATTGCTAGCCGTACAACCTGAGTAGATAACAACACTTCCTCTCACAGGAGAGACCCAGACGGAGCTCCAGGCTCCCGGCTGCAGCCTGTCCCAGTCTTGGCCACTGCAGCCATTGAGCGAGTGGGTCGATGGATGGAAGTTCTCTTGAAAATACACACCTTTATTAAGCTCTCTATAACTCTGCCTTTCGAATAAATTAAAATTCAATTGGGAGAGTTTCAGGTCTGTCTCCCAGGTCACTAATCTCTTTCCGATTAGATTTAATCTGTCTGAACCAGCTGGTTAGTGTTTGCATCTAGGTCTTTCAATTCTACAAATTCTATTGGGTTCTTTATAAATGTTTCCTGTTTACACATGCAAGTTGATTCCCTCTTCTTAAAACCTTTGTTTCTGATCATCCTCATTAGCTCAGTCTTTTGCAGATCTATTTCTGTTACCAGTTTGTTCCACTAATTGTCCTTTTGTGAGGGTTTTTTATTTACTACTTACACCATACTTAGCTTTGTCTCAGGTATCCACCATTGTGCATAAATATATATATATGCATTTATACATATGTAATATACATATATATATATAATCCTTTTTTATCTATTTATTTGACAGGCAGTTAGAGCAGGGGTGGGGGGAAAGAGATCTTTCATCAGCTGATTTCCTGCCCAAATGGCCACGATGGCTGCGATCGACCACACTGCAGCCAGCAACCTGGAATTCCATTTACCTCAGCTTCAGCTTTTTAGTGCTTTCCTCTGAAAGATGAACTGAAGGTTGTCATCTGCTTCACATAATTGATTAACCATCGCTTGCCAAGTATAAGGCAGGAAGGAGTGGATGCTGGCGAGGAATCCCCACAGGTAAGGGGATCTGCAATGGCTCCTCAAGACGTTACTTCTTCAATGACTACCCCACAAGTTGCCTTCTGTTCCGGGTCTCCTACTATCCAACCAAAGGAACTCTGTGCAAATACTAAGTGTTCCCTAAGACTTTTTCATCTGGACATGAAGGACTCTGGAGGAGTCCGAGCCATCCCTGAACCCTGTCTACCTACAGTTTCACAGAAATTGCTCGAAGGCACTCTCCGTTCTTTTCCAGGACAAATAAAGATTTTTGTGGGCCTTAAAAAAATTCCCACTGGTGATTTCAATAGTGGAGAAGAATTTCAAAACTGTGGGTTCCATTTTCCATCACAAGTTTTATCCTGTTTTGCCTTAAGTAAGTTTTTAATTAAACCACACTTACAGAAAACGCCACAGTTAAGTGCAGGATGCAAACAACATGAACAACGTTCTGACTCCCATTACCTTCCATTGGCTCTGTCCGCCCTCTAAGGGAACCAGGCACACACGCTGTTCTGCATCTTCCTTGTGTCTCTCAACATTGCGAACTGATTGCAGCACAGGTCCCGATGCTAACCACACACCACTGAGTAAAACATTGCTATACGTTTTCCTTTTGCAGATCTATTTTTGTACTTTGCACATCTTTTGCTACAATTTTTAGCAACGTATTATCTAATTTCCTGTGGACCAATCTTCTAAATTGTAGGGTTAGCGTGAATGGGCTTCTCCAAACATTCTTGTATGTGGTTTTCCAGTATAATCGTGTCCATATTCTTGTTGAGTGGAAGGCTAGGACCCGAGTTGCTGGGTCACGGGTTCTATTTCAGCTACATTAGATCAGCTCTGTTGGCTACTGCTGGTTTGTTCTGAAGGAGATTAGGTCTAACAGCCTCACATCCTCACCCACACCTGTGTTGGTATCTTTAATGAAATGTTCTGGTAATTGTAATGGTAGTTCATTGCAGTTTTGACTTACAGGTGTCTGATGAATAATAATGCTTAGGGAGCACCCTTTAATATGTTCATTGGTGGTTTTAATATCATCTTTTATAATGCCTTTCAAGTATTTTGCCATTTTCGGTTGTCATTTCCTATCCACGAGGGTAAAAAGCAACTTTGGAGTATCTATTGCACAGCATGATGTTTCATTTAGAGTTGTCTTTTAATTCATCTTTTAAGTTCTCAATTTTAGTGAGATACAATTTTGACAGTCTTTTCCCTTAAACTTCAGTTGCTTTCTGTGTGCTGTGTAAGAAGATATAACTTGGGCCCGGCACGATGGCGCAGTGGTTAAGGTCCTCGCCTTGTACGCCCGGGATCACATATGGGCGCCGGTTCTAATCCCAGTGGCCCCGCTTCCCATCCAGCTCCCTGCCTGTGGCCCAGGAAAGCAGTCGAGGACGGCCCAAAGCTTTGGGACCCTGCACCCGAGTGGGAGACCCGGAAGAGGCTCCTGGCTTCAGATCGGCATAGCATCGGCCGTTGCACTCACTTGGGGAGTGAATCATCGGACAGAAGATCCTCCTCTCTGTCTCTCCCTTCTGTATATCCGCCTTTCCAATAAAAATAAAATAAATCTTTAAAAAAAAAAAAGAAGATATAACTTCATTGTCTTTATCCAAGGTGCTAAACACTTGGAGGCAGTGACTTCTCCATTATCCATGGCTGTTTGTCACAACACTGTAGTACTACAAGAGGGAGATCCTTCTCCAGGCTAGTTGGAGCTGTCTACACAGGCACGGTGATCCCTGAGTCTCAGTCCACACGGTGAAACGATGTCACCAAGGTCCTTCACCCCGCCACCCCACGTCCAGTACCGATGCTGCCAGGCTTGAGTACCCTCACCATTCTCACCAAACGGCGTGTGAGTGCTTGTGAATTGAGAGTACTTACCACAAGTTGACAAAGTTGATGAAACTCGGGGAGAATTCCCTTTCCTCAGAATTACTCAGCTGTGGGGGATCTCCTTTCACGACTTGTGTTAGCTGATCAAACACACTATTCCACTTTGGATAAGGAAATCGGCCTGTGGCCAACTCGTACTAAAAAGAGCAAAGGGGAAAATGCAAAAAATACATGAGGCATGATTTACTGTTCCCCAATGGGATGGTTCTTATAACAATGTACACTTCACATGTTTGACTCAAATACAGATTAGGACAGAGTACAACCTTGAGATCATGAAGGCTAAGTGCAGGTTCCATTTAGAAATGAAGATAGTATGGAGAACTCTGTATCAGTCAAATCAGAAACTTAAAAGTGAAGGCAACACCAACATGAGTCTGATGTCTCCACAACACATGTTTCTGGCTGCTCTAAGGGAGGTGGAAGGCTGGTTTTACAACTTCTCCAGCACAGAGTCACCTAGGTGGATCGCCATGGTCTAGAACAGCCATCAGATTCCTTTGTGAAGGAAATGGACAGTCAACATGCAAGAGCCCAACCCAAGGCAACTCAGCAAATTCTGCTCAGCAACTTTCTGTAGTGACTACCATTTGCACCGGAACCAGATCCACCTACCCAATCAGAGTCAAATGCTCCCAGACTAAAACAGTGCTGTCAGCATTTCTAACTCATACCAGAACAAATCTGAAGTATCACCTGTATACCCTTTCCAATCAGTCAAGGGTCAAAAATCCTTGGAAATAAGCAGGGAAATGGCTCGGCTTTTTCATACTCTGTTATGAAACAATGAGAACATAGAAATTGTACCTTCCCTAGGAAATACATCTAAAACTGAATCTCACTTAATGTGTATCGACAAGTGACATACAAGGATAAAACTAAACTTGTTTATGGAGGAAGATGGCATGTAAAAGAGAGCTAGAAAACAAGTACTACCTCAGCAGACTGAGAAAGAGAGAGAGGAAGAGCAAGACAGAGCGAACCCTATCTTAGCAAACGTATTCAGACTTTCCTCCAGCGACACACACACATGCATAGGAAAAGAAGCAAGCATAAACACACACAGAAGTTTCATCCTCTGCTTAAAGTTTCTTTCTATTAAAATTATAGATGTTTGAAAAGAATAAAAAAATATTCTTTACAGCAACTTTATTAGATTCATTTTGGATGGGGTTTCACTAAAAGAGGGGAGTTGCAAATCATAATGTGACAGATTTAGCAGCATCGAAACTAATCCTGTCATTTATCTAAGACTGTCTCTAGGAAAAAAACAAATTATATACCAACTATAAATTCCAAGTATCTTACGTATGAACAGTAAGGTTTAGCTAAATGTAGTTAAAGGCACTTATTTTTAAAAATGACTATCTTAACGCTGTTCAGAAAAAAAAAGAACTGTATTTTTTTAATCAAAAGAACATACTTGTTATTTTACGTTATCCTGGGGATGTCAGATTTGGATATTTCTGAACCACCACCTCCCTGAGAGCCAACAGCTGCCTCAGCTCGAAGCTGCAGCCTTTGGGACCAGTTGGCATAGCTAAAGGCTGTCCAAAACCTATGTTCTCCCCTGCTCAACCAAAAAGGGGAATAAAGCCCTTCTTATTCAGTCAGTTGGCATCACAACAGAAAATCCTCCAGGAGGTAGCTCTCTGGCATATGGCCACACAGTAAGCAAGCAGCAGGCAGGGTTCTCTGCAGAGGGGAGCAGTAAGCCTTCCACTCACTGCACAGACTCCACTAGGCCTGGCTGCAGGATTCATCAATAAGAACTAGCTAGGGTGTGAGCTGATGTGCAGGAAAGGGATTCTAGAAGCAAAAAAAAAAAAGGGCTAAGAAACAGAGTGGACATTACTGACAATGGGAGAACGGAAGAAGAGGGTTGGGCTGCATACCTCATCAGATAATCCCACCTAGGCATAGAAAATTCGACTCTAATGTGGAAGAAGCCATTGAGGCTATCCAAAGTCAGAACACCCACAGGAAAACAACACTTTAAAACAAAAGCTGGTAAAATGAAAATAAGCATGTAAATATATAACCATTCACTTAATGTGGGGAGATGGGAGAGGCTAATGCAGATTCCTGACTGTACTGGAGCAGCTCAGGGGCTCTTCCCTAGCCCATTCTTAGTGCAGCTGTGGACATGGAGGCCCAGAGAGCCAGCCTTAATATCAGCTAGCCTTGGAACCATCAAAAAAAAAAAACCTTGAGCAAAATGAGCAATTTGGTTTTAAGGTGAATACATACATTTTTCCTCTAACAATGAGAAACCACAGTCACTATTCATAATAGTGTAGGTGGGGGAAAAAAAAAAAACAGCAAGTGAACAAAATCAAAGATGTGAAAAGATGCTCTTGGTAGCAGTCGGAGTCTGACAAGAGGGTGAACCCACACAGACGTACCAACGTGATCCCCAAACTCCAGACATCAGAGCGGACATCATATCCTTGTCGCGACGCGCTCGGGTCTATTCTTTCAGGCTGAAACACAGAGAGAGAGGTCCAGGGAACCGATTAGGGCTTTCTTCAAACACGAGGCTGTAACTAAAGCAACAGCAGGGTGGGGAACCACGGACCAGTATGTCTAGAGGAAACACATCTAGGGCCAAGGAGTAGCGAGGACGCTGTCATTCTACTAACAGCAAATAACAAAACCAACAAAATACCACAACTCAAACGCTATTTCCATAAAGGAAATCCAAAGGTACTCTTGCCATTTTCCCTCTAAGGACACACAATCTGAAACCAAGTAGAGAGACAGAGAGAGAGAGAGAAAACCAGAAAAAAACAGAGAAAGAACTACAAGGTTAGACCAGGAGCTACTAATGGTACAAATGAACATCGAAAAGAATGGGTCTTCCCAATTTTAGTCTTGGTTTCTGTGGATAAGACCCAACCACCCTAGGCACGATATGGGACAGTAAACATAAATCTGTTTATCATTATTCCACCTGTTCTGCACCTAACAAAGCTAAATGTGCCACCACACATTCGTTTGAAGGCAATCAGCTTCTTCGTACCCAAACTAAAGCACCACCAAGAGTTACGCGTTACCGGACCATCTGAACAGCAAATACCACTTCTAGTAGTTTCTGTGCAGTAATGGTCTTCACAAATCCTTGATATTAAACTCCATCATGCTCATGTGTCAGGAATGCAGAAAAAGCAGAGGGGTGGGAGTGGGGGCACCGAGTCGGTCACAGACCCTGTACTAAAAGCAGAAGTCACTGTCGTTCAAAGAAACACAGACAAGTGTAAGGATTGGCCTACTTACATCATTTTACAGTCAGTAATGATTCACTTAGAGATCTAGGCATTTATTCTGATTAGAAGCTCTCTACTTTATCTTTACGTATTATATATTTGCTTGATAATGTACACATCACATAATAGTCTCAGTCAACCAAAGAGACTAGAAGCCCCATGCAGTAACGTCAGGGAAAAGGTTTCTGTTAAATTCCTGTGTGATAAATTCTCTTATTATTTTTTTGTATTATTATCATTTTATGATACATTTCTGTAGGTCTTGGAACTTCCCTTACCCTCTGCCCAAACTCCCTTTCCCCTCCACCACCGAGTTCCCCTATATTATTACTATACACAGTTTTTCATACACAGTCATATGTCCATCATTGCAGGCATGGACAATGGCAGAGAGTCCAGCATCCTATTGTCAAGATACAGTTAACAGTTTCATTGGGAGTCCGTCTATGATCTGGAAGTAGAGACGCATACTGCACTGTATTCTCACATCTGGCTATGACAGTCTCCATTACATAGTTACTATACATCCCCTTACATGAAAAGCCACAATACAAAATCAACAACAGGAAGAAAAATAGAAATGTATAATGCCTGAAGTTAAATAACTAGCCACTGGATATGACAGTCACCTTACAAAATTACTGTACATCTCATTAACTGTAAAGCCACAAAAAGTCCTCGCCTTGAATATGCCAGGACAGCACATGAGGACTGGTTCTGGTTTCGGTGGCCCTGCTTCCCATCCAGTTCCCTGCTTGTGGCCTGGGAAAGCAGTGGAGGACGGCCCGAGACCTTGGGACCCTGCATTCATGTGGGAGTCCCGGAAGAAGCTCTGGGCTCCTGGCTTTAGATTGGCTCAGCTCCAGCCATTGCAGCTGCTTGGGGAGTGAATCATCAGATGGAAGATCTTCCTCTCTGTCTCTCCTCCTCTCTGTATATCTGCCTTTCCAATAAAAATAAACAAATCTTTTTTTTTAAAGGCATAAATAACATGTTACTTAATTACTAATATGTCGTTAAAGAAATGAAAATGAAAATCAAGAATCTTCATGAAGACAACACTACTGTATAATCTATGAATCAGTGAAAAATTTAATGAGAAAATATTTTGAAGAGATGAAACAAAAAAAATCAAAATTTATGAGATATAATATTTGCTGGTCCTGGTTGGTGAGATGTATCTCCTGTAGGCAACAAATAGATGGGTTTTGTTTTTTTAATCCAGTCTACTTATCTATCTATGACATTTGATAGATGAGTTTAAGCCATTTCCACTCAGGGTTAATATAAATGGGTGGTAATTTGGTCCTGTCATTTTAGCAATAGGTTGTTCACTGATTTAGTCTTCTGTTGTTGTTTTACTGGAATGTTCCTCACATTTGCCTTTGGTTTAGGTGGGTGCTATTCCTTTTCTCTGTTAAGAGAATATCTTTAAGTATCATTTGTAGGGCAGGTTTGGGAGAGACATATTCTTTTAACTTTTCTTTACTGTGGAAAAATTTTATTTCATTTTCAAAGACAAAGGAAAGCTTTACTGGGTAAAGCTCCTTCCAGCTTTTTGTTTGTTTCCTCCTGGTGACAAAAAATATTTTCCAATTCGGAGATTCTTTCTTCTGCTTCACTCATTCTATTTTTTAGACTCCACTGTACTTTTAATTTGCTCCACTGTATTCTTCATTTCTGATATATCAGCTTTCTTTTGATTAATTTCCAATGTGACATATTCCTTAAATTCCTTGAACACCTGCTTTACATGCTTCTCATTGTTGATAAAAAGCTTTATAGCAAGTGCTTTCAATTCTGTATCCCCCATTTTCTCGATGTCTTCCTCACTTAACTCTCAGATTGGCACAGGCTTTTGCTCCTTTGCAGGGGAATCTTCAGCAATATTCATTGTTCCTTTGTCTCTTCTTTTGCTCTTAGTCATTATACTTCTGGTTATTAGAGTCTTCTCCTTAGGCCAGGTTTCTAAGCTGTGTCACCCACAGGCCTACAATTTGAGTTTACTTACTGTCATTGGTACAGGACCCTTTGTTTGCAGCCACTTGTGCCACTCCTTCCAGCGAATTCCAGGTCTGGGTTCTTATGTTAGACTTCCACCGTGGTTTCTGTAGCCCCAGCTACTGGCTCACCACTCTCCACTTCCAGTGATTGCGTGCTGAGGCTGCATCACTGTCTGTACAACATTTCTCCAACTTGCAGTTCGAGCAATTCCCAGGATTAGGGAGACACCAAGGTATCCCATATAGCTAGATTGTTGGTGGTGCTGATCTTGCTGCAACCTGTTGGCCATTAGGTCTGGGGGCCACATGGACCTATTTTGAGCCGTACAATGCCATGGTTGGTATTATTTTCCTTGTGGGACCAGTGTAATGCACTGAGCTCAGCAAGAACTCACTGAGCTCAGTACATGCACAGCTCACTGTTGTCCCTTTAGTCGTAAAAACCCCTGCCACGGTGTACAAAATGGCACTTGATGTGCCACTACTACAGTTCTTGATCTGCTGGCCTTCAGGTCTGAGGGCTACCCAGACATATCTTGGGTGGAACCTGCAGGATGCCATCTTGTTGCAGTTCACTGAGCCAGAAATGAGTTCACTCCCAGCTCAGTGCATGCACAGTCCTGTCCCAGAGCCTTTGTCTCCTAAAACAAAATGGTGCTGATTTGGCTCCAGGGGGCGGGATGGTCTGTGAAATCCACTCTGTTCCCACATTGTCCATCGGGAACCTGCCACTCCATCTCTGCCTCTGGTCAAATCAAACAGACCAGCAGGACAAGAAGTTCTTTATCTGGATTTATGTCCTGAGCTCTCAGTGAAAGTCCCTTCCCGCCTTGTGGCTGGGGGAGTTCCAGCTACTGGAGCAGTTCAGGTCACTGATCGCTTATGGCCATGCGGTATTGCTCACTGCAACACCACACCATTGTGTCTGCTGCTTTCCCACGTCTGTCAGTCACCAGGTGCCCCTCTGCTGTGGTTCTGTCCTCTCCTATTTCCTAAAATGTGCCCTCTCTGCTGCATACTGACTAATGTTTCTCTGTCTGTTTAAACATGTCCTTACCCTATTCTGCCATCCTGATTATCTCATGATAAACTTCTGTTAGAAGATTGGAAATCAGGTCTGTTCTTCAACCATGAATTAACTAAATTAGAAATCAGTAACAAACACACACACCTAAAACATCCTCAAATACCTGGAGATTAAACAACACACTTTTAAATAACACATGGGGAAAAAATGTCTCCGGCATCAGTAAAAAAAAAAAAAAAAATTGCTTGACCAAAGCAAAAATACAATAAAAATTGATCCAGAATTGTAGGACGAAAGGAAGTGTTCAGACGGTAACTTGTAGCAGAATATGCATGCATCAGAGGACACCTCGAATCGGTCACCTAACTTTATGGTTTAAGGAACTTGTTTACTCTTTAACTAAAGCCCAAATCAGCAACAAGCAGGAAGTAATAGGAAAAAACAAAAGTAGAACGGAATTAGTTGAGATAGGAACAGAAAAACTATACCCAAGAAGTCAATAAAACCAAAATGAGTCTTTGAAAAAAATCAACAACGGCATGCCATGAGCAACACCTGCCAGGAGGGAAGGAGACTCCAACCACTAAACTCAGGGTGAAAACGGGGGGAGGAATGTTATCGCTACTTAAGGGAAAAAAAAAATAAAACGGACATAATCTCTGAAAATGAAAACTTACCAAAAAATAATTTAGAAACCTGAGTTATCTTAGGATGATGTTATTTAATAGGTTTATTAGTAAGAACTGTCACGGAAAATTCAGACCCTAATGGGACCACGAGTGAGCTTTTTAAAATATGCAAGTAAGAAATAAATCTTGAAACTTTTTTTCAAAGAACAAAGAGGTAACCCCACCCACCTTCTTTTACAAGTCTAGCATGAACTATTTTTCTATATATATAAATATCTATATATATATATAAAACCTGACACTACAGGATAATATCCCCTGTGTACAAAGATACAAAAAAAGCATTAAAATATGAAGGAATCTACTCCAGCAAAACAGGAAAAGGAAATACGTCGTAACCAAGCGCAGTTCATTTCAGGAATACAATACACAGTCAATATCAGAAAATCAAGGTACAGAATACTGGAGAACGAAAGCTTGTCTCAATAGAGGCAGCATTAGCATCTGAGAGAAATTCACAATTCAGGAGTCACAACAGGAACAGTGACAGCAGCTGCTAGCACGCTAAGGAAAATGTCTTCATTTCTTGCAGGACTCTTAGAGCTAACCATCACACTTCTGGGTGAAATGCAGGGTCGTCAATACTGACAACAGGGCAAAGAGGTCCCTTCTGCTTCTGTTCAGTATCACACTGAGCTCACAGCACGCACAGGGGCAGACAGGAAAAAAGAAATCAACAGCGATGTTTGCATGAAGACACGTTCCCGTTTCCACAACTCCTCACACAGAAAATTCCTGAAACTAATAGTGAAGTTAAATGATTAGGTCATGGGACACAATCCGTGCAAGTAAACATCTACGAAGCAAGTATATCTATATGCCATCATAGCAAAATACCAGAAAATTTTTTAAAGCTCCATCCACAGGGTCTGGCGTAGTAGCCTAGTGGCTAAAGTCCTTGTCTTGCTTGCGCTGGGATCCCATGTGGGCGCCAGTTCTTGTCCCGCCTGCTCCATTTCCCTTCCAGCTCCCTATTTGTGGACTGGGAGAGCAGTTGAGTATGGCCCAGGGCCTTGGGGACCCTGCACCTGCATAGGAGACCTGGAGGAAGCTCTGGGCTCCTGGCTTCAGTTTGGCTAAGCTCCGGCCTCTTGGGGAGTGACTCAGCAGGTGGAAGATCTGTCTCTCCTCTCTGTAAATCTGACTTTCCAAGAAAAAAAAATCTTTAAAGAGAGAGAGAGAGAGAAACCTCCACTTGCAATAATGGTTTCAAAAACCATCAATTCCGTTAATAAGTCTGCAACGAAAACTGCACTGCTGAGTCCGTTGGATGAACCTACTGTGGAGCATCAATGCAATGCACACTACTCAGCAACAATTAACAGAACGAACTACCAGCACGGGCCACAGCTGGCAGACAGCTGGCAGACACAAACAAGCTCCGAATGTTAGATTACATATATGTCAAACTCCAGGAAAGATCAAAACCGAATCTGGCAGAAAATAGAATAAGATAATGGCTTTAGACAGAGGAGGGAGTGTGAGAGACAGGCATATTCTGCATCTCGACCGCTCATGATGGCACTGTGGCCACGTCTGTCACCGCTCAAAACGCACCTGCCGCCTGTGGTTACGGTGGCAATGTCATTCTGGAAACCCCTGTGTTTACGTCACGAACAGCTGGAATTTCCAGCGTGTTTGTGTGTCAGGAAAACTTAAGCGCATTCCTGGACATGAGGCAACACCGGGGATTCCATCTTTCAGCCAAGGATTATGTAAGTGAGCGTCTGGCTCCCTTCGCTTTTCACCATTCACTAGGGTCCAGACACTTAACAGCCATGACAAACTTGGGGACTTCTGCTCTAAAGGGATGTAGGCAGTTTCTGCCTCCCAAGAGATACCTAGCAGTTTTATCCAGATGGCTGAATATCTAACCTAGCCATCCCATGCCAACATTGCTTCTGACCACAAAAACTGAATTACTCCAATATTGCTTTCAGTTTCGTTTACAATCATGATGATACACTTTTACCATAGGGATGTTCATTCGTGTAAAATAACTTTTACACTCATTCTTTGTGTAGGTAGGGTTCTTTCACGTTTTAGTAATGATTCTTTAGTGTATACTTAACATTAATAAAATGAACCAGACAAGCACCTCAAATCTAAATCAGAAGAACAGGTTTGAAAATCAAAAATCTCAAAGTCCAACAGCATAATACTAACTCAGAAGAGAGTATGCAACATTAATAAAAGCTACCAAAAAATAAGACAAAATCATTTCATATCGTGTGTGTGTGTGTGTGTGTGTGTGTGTGTGTGTGTGTGTGTGTGTGTCTGTAAAGGACCAGTGTCCTGGAGCAATAGGTTATAGGCCACCACTTGCTCCACCAGCATTCCAGAGCAAAGTGCTGGTTCGAGGCCTGGCTACTCTGCTTCCAAACCAGCTTACTGTTCATGACCTCATGTATCTTATAACAGAACACAGGGCTATGCATCATCGATTAAGTACGAGTGCCAGTGCCAAAAAATATATATATAAATATAGGCTGAATCCAGCCATGAGTCAAGATCAGACAAATCTAGAATGTATGACATTCTAAAAATGCTTCCAACAATGGCAAAATCATAGCAGACACATGAAATATTTACAGTGAAATTCAAGATATCTGTAACTCCCCAAAAGGAAACAGATACACTCATACTTGCATGGCAGATGATAAAATATTAACAATTAGTGTGTTAAACAGTCTCAACGGCTCCAATTTATGACTAAAGAAAAAAATCTTCAGAGATACACCGACATACGACAAAGACTCAACACGTATAGGTTTTCAAGACAGGTTACGTTAAGTAAATTCCTGTCCGCCTATCCAGCCCAGCCTCACTGGTCCCAGGGAAGAACAGCCATTGTCAGCCTGTGTGCTCTGAAACCACGGCAGGTCAGCAGGCAGAGAGAAGCTCCACACGTGTGGGCCTGAGAATCACATGCTACACAACACTGGGAAGTCGCACATTCAAAATATTCTCCTGTATCTGGGCCACAGTTGTATCTTTAAAAACCTGCACGAGTCAAATCTCATACTCAAAGTGACGCAACAAAAAGAATCTAGTCAACCTTAGTATGGGGATTAAGTCCTAAACACACAGGTTAAAAAAAGAATCTTGGGCCCGGCCTAGCAGCAAAAGTCCTCACCTTGAACGCGCCGGGATCCCATATGGGCGCCGATTCTAATCCCAGCAGCTCCACTTCCCATCCAGCTCCCTCTTTGTGGCCTGGGAAAGCAGTTGAGGATGGCCCAATACTTTGGGACCCTGCACCCACGTGGGAGACCCAGAAGAGGTTCCTGGTTCCCGGCTTCGGATCGGCGCAGTACCGTCCGTTGCGGCTCACGTGGGGAGTGAATAATTGGACAGAAGATCTTCCTCTCTATCTCTCCTCCTCTCTGTATATCTGACTTTGTAATAAAATAAATACATCTTTTAAAAGAATCTCAGCATATCATTATGAAATGTGTAAATGAGAATAATTCCCCAACACCACATCTCTAATCATTGCTAATTCTTGCCTATGAATCTAATTTGTCATTTACCCTCAAGTATCATGAGAAATGTAGAGTCTTCTGAAAGTTGCAAGGGTCTGACTGACCCAGCTATATCCACAAATCCCAAACCTCATATGAAGATCTCTGTCTAAAGAACAGGCACACACATCCCTCTTATTGCCCATTTGTTGAAAGGCTGAAATGCAAACACTTAACAAATCAGAAAGGAGCATCGAAAAGCACAGTCATTCCAAAGTATCGTCAGTGCTGACAGTTTTCAAGCAACTCTTTTCAAATACAAACAGCAGAATATATCAGACGATAAAATATGTAATATCAGGAAGAACATCTCATCTGAAATTCTCTTAAATCTGAAATAGTTAAGGGTGCCAAAGAGATGCTCAAAAAGCTTTAGATTTTACAGCCCTTCATACTTGTAATTTTCAGATCAGGCATACCCAAAGGTTAAAAGTCTACACAAATATCACCTAATCCATGAAATCTGAAAGCAATTCTCGTCTCAATCACTGGGAAAAACAAAAATTCAATTTGCAGTCTCTCTCTCTTTTTTTTTTTAGTACAACTTAAAGATTGAGAAGTAACTAAAACCAAGAATTATAGATGCAAATTTTACTTTTAAATGATACGAATTTGAATGACTTAAAATGTGTACAAGTTTTTAAACTCAACTCTGGGAACCAGTCTGTGGCTTTCGTGTTCCAGCTGCTCCACTTTCAATCTGCTTCCCTGTTCACGTGCCAGGGAAAGCAGTGGAGGAGGGTACAAGGCTTTGGGCACCTGCACCCAAGTGGCAGATTCAGTTGAATGTAGAGGCAGAAAAGTACAAGGAAGATTACCGAGTAAAACCATGAAGACAGGACATGTCTGGGATCCTAGCTCAGTTCCACCTCACCGGGATAATAGCCAAGACTCAGGCTTTAAGGGAAAGCAAAGCAGTGCAGTACTTAATGGCCAGTGGCAGATTCCTCAGGAGTGCAGCACCAAAGGGCACGGCTCTCTTGCTCTGACTACCACTCGAGAAGGCACAGACATCCCACTTACTGCCATGTAAGGCCTACAGCCAGCATCTCTCGTCTTGGCAATGGAGTCCACAAGCTGTCCGCTGATGCCAAAGTCACAGAGCTTGATGTTTCCGCTTCTATCCAGAAGAATATTGGAAGGTTTGATATCTGCAAGAGGTAAATGCCATTCAGTGTACAATCAATCAGATGAGCTAGATTCTAAGGCACATTAAGCAAAAATATTAAAAATAAACGTAGACCAGATAAGTTGCCAACTCTTTACATTCAGAGATATAAGGAGAAGCAGAATATCTCCAATTATTCAATGCCAGCATCATTCAGGCTCTAAGTATAACTTCAACGACCACAATTGTGAATAGCAAAAGGCATTTCATAAAGAACATCATTATAATCCATAAATTATGGACGGAGGTTGAGTTTTTCTCTTAACATCTTCAAATTTCTAAACCAAAAATAAAACTGTGGTCTTTCTCCTTGGAAATCAGAAAAAAAAAATTATTTCCTGCATGCCACTGCATAAGAGTAAACTATGAAAAATAATTAGCTATTCTACAATATTCCCTTTGTTTCCTTATTTCATGGACAGCTTGATGTCTCAACTGGCTAATCCTCCTCTGTAAGTGCTAGCATCCCAAATGGATGCCACTTTGTATCCTGGAGGCTCTGCTTCCCATCCAGCTCCCTGCTTAGGACCTGGAAAAGCAGCAGAGAATGTTCCAAAGCCTTGGAATCCTGTGCCTGCACAGGAGATCTGGAAGAAGCTCCTGATTGACTCATCTCCGACCATGGCAACCAATTGGGGGAGTGAAGCAGTGGGTGAAAGAGCTTTCTCTCTGCTTCTGCTGTCTGTAAATCTTCCTTTCCAATAAAAATAACTAAATCTTTGGGGGGGGAAAGGCTTATTTTCATTGAATTGGTTTCAGAATCATTATGTAACAATCATAATCCAAGCGCTTTATCCCTGCTCTGAAATGGATGGGTCAAGAGTGTTCCAGGTTTTGGTACTCTGGCACAGTTCATTGGTTCAAGAAGCTTTTTTAGCTTCAAAATTTAAAGCATTTCAGGTCTTAAAGCTAGGGAATGGCATCAACTATCAGATTATGCTCAAAGTTAATATAGAGGAAATGTCAAAAGCTATACAACGAAATATGAAGTATACAAATTATGAATCCACAGTTTACCCAAGTGAAACCTCATCTAACTCAGGAAAGTCATCTCCTACAGCACATGTAGAAGACCGTGGGTGGCAGGATTAGAGAGCTGAAGCTTAAGATCCAGATCTGACATCCACAATGAGATCTAAGCTCCTGAGCCTCTCTCTCTCTTAAAGAATTTATTTATTTTTATTGGAAAGTCAGATATACAGTGAGGAAGAAATTCCATCCACTGATTCACTCCACAAGCAACTGCAACAGCCGCAGCGGTGCCAACCCGAAGCCGGGAGCCAGGAGCTTTTTCCAAGTCTCCCATGCGGGTGCAGGGTCCCAAGGCTTTGGGCCGTCCTCGACCACTTTCCCAGGCCACAGGCAGCGAGCTGGATGGAAAGTGGGGCTGCTGGGATTAGAACCGGCACCCATATGGGATCCCGGCACTTGCAAGGTGAGGACTTAAGCTGCTAGGCTACCGTGACGGGCCCCTGAACCTCTCTTAACAACCATAATTTCCTCATCTACAAACTGGAAAATCATCAAAGTTGCTAGTTTACAGGCAATATCCAAACATTCATTAACAATCAATGTAGTGACTTAATCATTTCTCGCAAGGAACTTTCTTGCCACCAACTCTTCCTTGGACTTGTCCTTCACCACATGAGAGCGTGCCTGCTCTCCCCCAAGACCTGAAGCCAAGTGCCTTCTCCACCGACAGCTCATGACACTATGGCTCAGCTGGCTGGCTGCTCAACTTTCTCTTTCCTCACTAATTTTCTACCCCTAATGTTATTCTTTTCACCCATGTCACTATCATTGCCAAAGCTTAATAAACTCAAGACACAGAGTAGAGTCCTCCCTTTCCCCCCAAAAAATCTAAAAAGAACTGTTACCATCACCTACACAACAGTCTGGCTAGCTAACATCCTTCCCTAACCACCTGACCACCTGTCAATTCCAGCAGAACCTGCACCAACGCTCCTCTCTCGGTTCTATTCTCAGCTTCAAAAGTTGGCTCCTCAGAGGCTGGAGGTTGATCAGGATGGACTGTCATTATGAAGGCACGAGGCAAGGGGGGTGAAGAAAACAAGAGAACACATTCGATGCATGTTGGAGAACTTTCCACGCTCCCAGGACACCCACGCAGGCAGACGGTTCCTCCTCGGGGGGTCGTCATGAGCCGCATGCAGATGGGACACAGGGAACCGGTACCGTTCTTACGACCCCTTAGGGCACAGTCAGTATATGAACGAAAGTTATATTTGAAGACTAATCATCTCAATCCGCCACTGTCTATGTGACATCTCAATGTTTTATTAAGATCATTCAATAGTGTCAAATGTGCTGCAGGTGACTCCTAATAACAAAATACCTCTAGCTGCTTACAAGACAAAAAAAAAGATGAACTACAACAGGAAAAAATAATTTTGTTTGGATGCCTAATCCTACATGATTTAAGGCCCAAAGACGTAATAAGGAGGCTACCAACTCTTTATTATAAGCATTAAGCTAAGTGAAATCACTCAGATGTTCAAGGTTAACAAATTTCAGTGGTCCAACATCAACCTCAAAATAAAAGAACCTACACGAATGCCCAACTACACATTTCACTAACCACCTGAAACTAGAACGTCCTGGAACTGAAGGCATTTCACGTCTCTGAATCTGTTCCTGTATCCCTCCCTTTGACCTTATGGCTGAACCACACCCTGCCAGTCTTAGCTGTGTCCATTCCAAGCTGACTGGCTCCTTCAAGGTCATCACCACATTACCCTCAGGCTTGCTGCGTCATAAACAGAGCATGAATAGGATCTATTTGCTGGAGTAAATTCAACATTCCTACAGGGTTATTACCTGAGTCGGGTCTAACATGACATAAAATATTTGAGTCTCACAAAGCCAAGATTAATACTATCACACATACAACGCATTTCAGAGGAATTTCACTTTATAAAACTAATTAAGAGACCTTTCTTAATTCACACAAATGTCCTCTAAAGTGCAGAAGAAACACTGGCTATGGGTCATAGCATCCCCTTGACATGCTCAAGGGTTCTAGCCCTCAGATTCCTTCTGGAATGCTCACAGGATCACCAGCAAATCCCACTTCTAGGTTAAGAAATATTAATCAGCTAGCAGTCAGATGAATAGTTCTTTTCAACTAAGAGAAATAATAACCATTATTAAAATCAAATTCTAAGCCTAACTAATAGTAAAAGAATGAAGTTTATGTATCTAAAAAGGAAAAAAAAAAAACTAATAATGAAGTTTCAGAGTACATATTCAACCAAAGACTCCTATTTCAGAAAAGCTTCTATAGTGACCCTGTGGAAATCTTCACTAGGACTTTTTTCGTCAGTAAGGGAGAAAATGTTTATATTTATTCTAGAAAAAGCAATCTATACCCACCTCTGTGAATGATTTTCAAGTTTTCTTTTAAGTGGTTTAGTGCTTTCACAGTCTAGGGAGAAAACAAAAAATCAAGAGTTGGGATAAACAACTTGCTTCTGGTTCATGAACTAGCAAAACAGTTTATTACAGGTATATTCCACACAACAGCCACCCATATAGTTTCTAAACTTAGTATTCCAATATCCTGCACATCAGTTTTATGGTAACAACAAATGCTGACTGATGCCTTTAGAGTGAAAACTTGGCATACAGTTGTTCTACACGCCATTCCCTGATTACTAAAAATCAGCTGCAATTTCTCATTAAAAATCACTAAAAAAATCGTGTTTCTTATATCGACAATCTTCAATTATAAAAATGGTACAACAAAGGTCAGTGGGCTGTTCTCATCATCAACAGTGATTCTTAAGTTTCCTGCACATTCTCAGTCCCTCACCATCTTCACCGTCACTGAGTGAAACATGCAGAGAAAGCAAATTTCTTTTCAGCCACTGAAGCTGTTTGATCACTACCCGTGATCAAATAATCACAGATGTCTTAAGGAGGAGAGGGGGAAAAACAGACTTGAATCAAGATTTCCATAACCTCAACTGAAAAGAGAATTAAACAACAGGTCAACCATTTGCTGGAAACTCCAGTTCTCTTGTCATTATCCTGTCAGGCAGGAGGAATGTGGAACCCATGAACTGGTCATGTTTCAAGTAACTGTGCCTGTGTGTTTACTGGTTAATTAATCAGCAAGCAACTTAACCTAAGTAATTTTAAGTGTTATGTTTATAACACCAAGCTGGGAAACACACAGATTGCAATACATGATGTGATCATTTTATCTGTGCTTTTTAACTGCATGATCGTTCTGTCATGCAGGATGAGGGCTCTGGAACCAGGCTGCCTAGGCTTAAATCAGTTACCACTCACAACTGCGTAAACTGCAAAGCAAATGAACTACTCAACCTCATCTTCTGCTCTGGTTGGCTTACTTTGCTGACCAGGGAGGGTTGCTATGAAGATTAAATCCCTTAAGATCTTGACACAAATGCACATTCCATAAACATTCTCCAATATTATTACATTATAATTACACTGTTAATTATAATAAACAGTAGAAAGTTCTAACCCTGGTTTTGTATCCTGGAGATGGCTAAACAGGTTAATGTAAAAATTTCAAATATTGTCTAAGGAAATTATTTCTGCTCTAATAGCTTCTCTGTATATAAAAATATAAAAAAAGAGTATACATCTCCCAATGTAGAGCATAACACATTTAAACTTAATAACCGATTTGGCAAAGTGACTTTATTTTATTCTGAATGCCCACACCAGTTGTCTTTTCACTATATCATGGTGCCTTGCTAGACACAGTAGCTACCTTCCCGATCACTCTGGCAGAGAGATGAAGGCAATGCCAAGTGGCTATTGGTAGACTACACCTTACTCACCACTCAAAGCTGATTGATTCTAACGAGAGAGATCGAAAGAGGGAGAGAGGAGGGGACTGAGAGTGCTCCCATTCCTCCGGAGCCGCCAAAACTCTGACATCAGCCAGTGGGAGGCCTGGTGGACGTCAAGAGCAAGAGACTCAATCTCCATCTCCCACATCGGGGGCAGGAACCCAATCACATGAGCCATAAGCTGCTACTTTCCAGGGTCTGCATTAACAGGAGGTTGGAACTGAATGAAAGCACTCTGATACTCAAGTGGTACTCCGACTGGCTTCGCCCAACACCCACCCTAACTTCTTCAGACAGGAAGAGGCCTAACATTATAACGACTGCAGTTTAAACCAATCTTTAAAATCCAATGGCATACACATCTCTCACAACTAAAATAAAGTTCAGAAACTGTCTATATTTTACCTATTTAATCCTCAGTGATTAAATTGGAAAAATCAGCCAACGGCAAGTAGGCTACATTGGAAAGGGAGAATGCAGGCAAGGAAGACAAGAAGATAGTGCAACTCAAAAATTATCTCACAGCTGCCTACATGACTTAGTTTACAAGATATCAGCCATGGGAATGTCATTAGCTCAGAATCCCAGCAGCGTCAAAGAATCATACTGACTTCACTCTGCTAATAAATTTGGGAGAGGGAGGTTAGTGTTGTGACAAAGCACACTGTTCAGCCATTTGTGAAGTTGGAATCCCGTATCAGAACGCCAGCTGGAGTCCCAGATACTCTGTTTCCAACCCAGCTTCCTGACAGCATGCCTGGGAAAGCAGCAGCAGATGACCCAAATTAAGTGCTTGGGCACCTGCCACCCTTGAGGGAGACCAAGATGGATTTTTAAGCTCCCAGTTTTTCAGCCTGGCTTTGCCCAGCTGCCGTGCTTATTTGAAGAGTGAACCAGCAGTTGGAAGGTATCTCTCCCTCTCCCCTTCTCCTAACGCTCTGATTTCCAAATGATAAGCAAATACTTTTAAAAATGAAATATTTTTTCCTTCTGGAGAAAAGTATAAGTAATATTTATCAAGTAATAGAGCAAGAAGGAAAGTGATCATAAATTCATTTTCAAAACTACCAGTATGTAGGCACAACCCAAGTCCCTTTTTCCTTTCTTAGTACTCTGGTCAAAGTTCATCAAATTAGCGACACTGGTTTCTGTAACTTCGGTGAACGCTTTCAATGGTTTAGACTAAATAACCCAGATCTTGAGCCATAGGGAAAACAGTCTGCTTTAGTTTGATTAATTATGGATACATGTAATAACAGAACCTATTGAAAAACAGTGAATGCGACAGGGAGAAAGATGTGCTTTCTACTCTTATTAACAGCTCAGTCGGTTGAGGCTCACTGAAATGTGAGGAAAACAAGCACTGTGGGTATTTATGCAGAGCTTCATCGTACTTGAGGCCTTTTTGTGTTAATTACCCCCTCGGCAGTAATTTTGTCTCTTGTCTCGTAAATGGTTTTCCATGAAAGCCAGAAGGATTCTGTGAAGGACATTCAGATGTAAGGTGCATTCAAAACCCAGCAGCATCTTCATTTAATCATGTATATATACATAATGAACAATTCAAAAGCAAGGTACTTACTGCTAAAGTGATTTTGCCTAAAATTTCTTCTGGAATAACATCATCTAATACACTATATACATATTTGTAAAACTTATCAAACGAGGTAGACATGAGTTCCATGCAGATCCAACAGTCACCCTGCAAAACAACAAACAGCTCTCGTTGCTACACATCTTACTATGAGGCACCGCCTTGTCTCTGCTGAAAAACAATTAGAGAAGGAAAGTTCTTACTCTTCACTTTTGTTCTTAATCCTGAAGTAGCGATAACCTTTCGTTTCTCACTGAGCAGAATATGCTACTCCGCTTTAGGCACAAACTACATGGCGAAAGCCAAAGTACACAAAACAGTCTAAGTCTACAGAAACTTCAAATCTTGCAACAACTGAAAACAGAATTAGGAAATATGCAGAAAACCATTCGTTTTTCACTAACAAGACAAATGACAATAATGTTGAATGACTATGTAAAATTCTTAAATGAACACCCAGAGAAGAAATGTGTAAAACAAACTCCGTGTCTCAAGACCCTGTTCACAGGCCATCTTCTCAGTGAGGCCTAAGTCGCCCTCTCAGCATTCCCGTCCCATCTTCTAACATAGGTTCTATTTCACTTACTACATTTGTCATTATCTTCCCACCTGGAATGCAACCGTTACCATGCCAAGGAGCCCAGTATCTGTTGTAGGAACAAATGCTAGGCCTAAGTAAGCTGAACCATTCAAACATTGCTGCAATCTTACAGTTTTCGATCAGTATGAAAGCCATTTGACAATAAAACAAGAGAAATACTCAAAAAGTAGTGGCCCCTCATCTACAGTGTCGCTTTGTAAGGTTTTACTTACCCACAGCCAACTGCAGTCCAAGAATATTAAACAGAAAATCCCAGGAATAAACAACTCATGTTTTAAATTGCATGCTGTCTGAGCCTCATCATAGAATCCCCCACCACCTTACCCAACCCACTGTGAAACAGATCACCCTGCTTGCCCAGCAAACACACAGTCCATGCCACCTGCTGTTACTCGCCTACTTCGGTCATCAGATCAACTACAGTGGCATCCTCTAATGCTTGTTCTCCAACAACCCAGCATTTAATTAATTACAGCCTCAAGAGGAGCATAACTGTTATGTATTATGACTGTTGTTAATGACTTACCGCATCTAATTTGTAAATTAGATTTCATAATAGATATGAAATTGATATAATAGATATGTGTGTACGGGGCAGGGAAACTATCTAGGGTCTGGAACTACCTGGCTTCTCTAAGGATCTTGAGATCTGTGCATAGAAAAGGAAGGCCTTGTATGTATGTGTCTGGTCTGGAATAGGGAGCATAGTCAGGGGACCCAGGGGAAATCCTAGCTGGCTGGCCTCACAGATGCCTCAAGGTATCCCAGGGGTTCTGAACACCAAATGCTGTCCGGAATTTCTTCACCTTTTTTTCTGCTTTTCTTTTCTTTTTCTTTTAAAGACTTATTTTTATTGCAAAGTTAGATATACAGAGAGGAAGATATTCCATCCTATGGTTCACTTCCCAAGTGGCCGCAGCAGCCACAGATGTGCTGACCCAAGGCCAGGAATCAGGGGGTTCTTCCAGGTCTCCCACATGATGCAAGATCCCAAGGTTTTGGGCCATCCTCAACTGCTTTCCCATCCAGGGAGCTGGATGGGAAGCGGGGCCGCTGGGATGTGAACCAGCACCCCTTTGCCAGCACCCCATACTGGATCCCGGCACGTGGAAGACAAGGACTTTAGCCGCTGGGCTACCACGCCAGGTCTGCTTTTATTTTCCAGTGTGGCCAACCCTGGGTCTTCTCGAACCCATAGCAGCTGGGCTCTGATCCCAGCAGTTACAACCTCTTTTCTGTGCTTCCGGCCTCAGGTAAGTGTGAACAGGTCCCTCGGGGGCAGTCCCCAAGCTCATCCCAGGCTTGCAACCCAGGACACTCGTGGCTTGAGATGGGCCTTGTTGGGCGAACATCTTGCTCTCTCCCAGGTGGTCCAGCCCCACCTCTGCAGGGAAAGAAGACAGGCTGCCCAACAGAGACATTGGCTATCAAGATCCCCATGGATGACAAAGGACTAGGAATCTACTCCAGAGGGGCCGGCGAGGCCAAAAGGATGGCCGGAGGATTGGGGGGCAGAGGGTACAGAACATGACCCTTTGGGAGAAACAGGTTAGGAGGGTCCCCAGATTCTGCCGGCCCCCGAGCTGCCTCCCAGCTAAGTGGGTCTTCACAGCACCTATCCATGCAAAAAAGCATTCATAGCCAACCTCTGTTTTCACATCCTGAAGATACTTTTGCTTATACATAATGTTCACACTTTTAAAGATTTGTGCTTAAAATCTGAGAGATTTCTTTAAAAAAAATCTGACTCTGTAAGAACCCTACAGCTAATATCATATTTAATTGTGACAGCCTAATTGCTTTTCCCCTTAGATCAGAAAGCACAAGTATGTCCATTCTTCACCATTTCTACTCAACATATTAGAGGTTCTAGCTAGTACAACGTCACAAGACAACAACAAAATAAAAATCACCCAACTGGGGGGAAAAAATGTACTCTTTAGCCACAGAAAGCACAATGGCCTAACGTGGAAAATCTAATAGAATCTACAAAAACCAACTAGAATTCCTGAGTTTAATGAAGCTATAACATATCAGATCAATATACAAGAGTAAATTGTGTATATATATATACGTTTGTGTGTGTGTATATATATGTATATATGTACATATATAAATGTGTGTGTATACACCAGCTTTGGAGGATACAGAATTTTTAAAATATTTAATTTAACATTAAAATATTAAATAAAGGGAAATCTAACAAAAAATATGAAAGAATATTGCTAAAATATCAATTCTCCCCCCTCCAAATTTAATCTATAAATTCAGCATATCCCCAAATCAAAAATCTCCATAGATTTTTTAGGAAGGTTTTTTTTTTAATTTAGTGCTGCAAAGACTGAAAAGCACATCCCCAAACCCACTTGGAAAATGAAAGGCCCTGAATGAACTAACACAGAGTTTAAAAGAACAAAGCTTGAGGACCAAAGCACACTTGGGTCTGACAGCATTCTTTACAGTCCCAGCAGCCCAAGGTAACAGACGGTGTGGAGACAGAGCAGCGAGAAAATACTTGTAATTCACATTCCGGTAACAAGCTTGTATTCAAAATACGTGTTTTAAAGAAATTCGTTAAATTGAGTAAGAAAAAGCCCAACTTCAAAAAAAGGACATATTTGATAGGGCCAATATTGTGGGGTAGCAGATGAAGCCAGCAACTGCAATGTCAGCATTCCATACGATTGCCAATTCATATCCGAGCTGTTCCACTTCCAATTCAGCTCTCTGCTAACGATTTGGGATAAACAGAAGATGGCTCAAGTGTTTGGGGACCTGCCACTCAGGATGGAGACCTAGATGAAGCTTCTGACTCCTGGCTTTAGCCTGGCCCAGTCTGGCCTGGTCCTGGCCACTGTGGCCATCTAGGGAATGAACCAATAGGTGCCAATTCTTTTTCTGTCTCTCCTTTCTAACGCCGTTTAAAAAAAAATGTATACATATTTAAACAGAAACATCATCAGAAAAGATAAACAACTGGCAAATAAGTACATACTGGTACATTAAGAAAATGCAAATCAAAACTACTATGAGATTCTATATTCTACATCTATTAGAATGGCTAAAATAAAAGGACCAGCAGGTGTTGGAAAAAGATATGACAGAAACAACTTTCCTAAAATACCGCTGGATGCGTAGAGTGGTACAACTCCCTTAGAAAACATTTTTTTGTCCATTTTTTTTAAAAGTTACACTCTACCAACATACCCAATCACTCCACTCCTGGGTGTTTCCTCAAGGGAAACAATACCTATACTCGCATAAAAACTTGCATAGAAATGCTCACAGCAACTTGAGTTGCAATAGATAAAAATCGAGACTAATCCAAACGTCCACCAACCAGTGAATAAGTAAACAAATCGTGGTACATCTGCAATGATGGCTATTCTGCACATTTTTTATTACCTGATCCGATAGCCAGTTCTGGGCCAGACTGAAGCTGGGGGGAGCCAAGGATTCTATCCTAGCTTCCCATATGGGTGGCAGAGGCCACTGACCTGGGCCACCTGCTGCTGCCCTCATAAGTGCACTCGGGAGAAGCTGGGTCAGAAGCAGAGAGCTGGGACTTGAACCTGTACACCAACATGGGACAACAGTGTCACCGGCAGCAGCTTCACCTGCTGTGCCATTAACACCAGCTCCACGGTAATTTTGAGAATATTCGAAATGCTTAACTATTTGAGTTCTTCTGAACTTGGCTTGACAGTCCGGCACCCCCCAAGAAGAAGCGCTCGACAGGCTTATCCAGGCAGCTTCACCTGGGCCCCTCAGTCATTTCTTTTTCAGGCAGGAGGATGAGGAAGTGGATGGATGTGCCAAACAGAAGTGATAACCCAAGTGGATAGAGACAAGAGGAATCGTAATCATTAGATCAAGACATGAGACTTCTAGATCCTACACAAAACTCTCCGTAACAGAAACAGAAAGAAGAACTTTTCAATGCAATTTCCATGGCTGATGAGGCTAAATGAGGATTACGATTAGAGCCAAATATTTACATTAGGTGTAAATAAATTTGATGACAGAAATAAGTACAGTTTAGAAAAGAAAGAGGGATAAGGCAAGGCCAAAGGAGAGAATCTAGAGAATTTAAATGAACAGCTAAAATGCTGATATTAAGCCAGCTGATTTCTTAAGTTCTTAAGGAATAGAAAATATTTGTACATAAAGGAAATATGAAATTCACAAATGACAGCTACCAATGCTAAAATACCTCCCCCCTCCCCCCCCAAAAAAAATCAATGAGAGGTAGAAGTGAAGGTACAAGTTATCATGGCTACCTACTAAAAATATGAGGACAACACAATTAATATACAATAGTAGTTAACTGAAGATTAGAATCTAACCCTACCATTTTCTTGTTAGTCTCATTTTGATACTCATTCATCAGCTAAAATCCAAATATTGTGTTCCTACCTCTCTGAAGAGTGCACCATAAAACTGAACAATGTATGGGCAATCACTACTCCGCATTACTACATCCAAATCCATAAGAAGTTGCTTTTGTTCTTTTTCATCCACTGTTGACCGAATTCTCTGGAAAAGAATGACAAAAGATGTCATTAAAAAGAAAAAAAAAAAAGTTTTCGATGTCTGTCTAAGAAACACTTGTACCACAAGATTAAAAATGACCAGGCAAATTTCCCAAAAGCCAACTGAACATAAAAAGTACCATCTCTCCTTGTGCGTTACAGGAATAATTTTCATCACAGAAATTTGAACAAGATAGCATTTGCGACTTCTTTGAAGGACAGCACCAGGACCCTTTCACCACAAGCATTCACAAACGATGCTGGGAGCTTTGCAACAGATCTCTTAAGCAGTGACATCAACACCCACATGCAGATAGAAAAGCAATCACAACGAGTGCTCACAGCTTCCATGTGGATAATTCCTACGTATGTTGTCATCATGTCAGAACTGAAGGACAATCAGGCTTCCCACACCAAGCGGCCCTCTCCGTCCCCCAGCACCCACACTTGTAGATGGACAACAGCGCAGAATGGGAATGAGGGGCATGACACAGATCAAAATCCAAGCTTCCCGAATCCTAGACAGGAACTCTCCCTTTACTGCACTTTCCATATATTATAAACAGGAAGTTATACCTGACTGTCCAACCCGTGAATCACCATGCAGTGTAAACCTGGAGAAGGATTCTAAAACTTAGGAGACAGAAGGCTCTTTGTCTTTCTAGGCTGAACATGCCCTCCCCAGACATGTACCTCCGCCATATCCCCAGCTACACTGTACTACAACAGTTCTGCATACTCTTAAGAAACTGCCAGAAAACACTGGTACTTCCACGCCTCCACCCCCTCCAGGAAGAACGCAGTGCAGCAAGGTGATAAGAAGGACAGCCCCCGTTTCCCTAGAGACAGGAAAGAATGAAGTTCGGAAACTGCAAAGCATTAATATGGAATCACGTTTTACTATCGCAGCATGCAAGCAACTTCTGCTCTCGTACCAAAAACAAGGGTCACGAGGTCACATCAAGACACTGCGTACAACAGGGAACACATACTTACAAGGCAAGTCAGTATCACAAATACATAAGGAGGCATTTTGTCTTCCACACACTTGGAGAGCTCTGTCCTCAATGCTCTTGGAAGGGAGGAAGGCAGTCAATGACATTCTTGAGCCCATTTTACAGAAGAGAAGCCACAGGTACAAAAAGATACAAAAGATGTATTCCATGTGACTTGAGAATAAGTAGATGTTGAGGGAACAGAGGTTGGTTCTCTCGGTTGCGTTTTATGACACTACATGAGGAATTCCTTCCACAGGCTCCAAATACAATCAGATTCAACTTTACCACTTCCAACTTATAGCTTACTAGCTACAATATTTCATACCAAACAGAACTGATTCACTGAAATCTCTCACATACATGGATTTATTTAAAGTGTTCATACTGAATATCACCGTCCCAGATAAACAAAGAAACAAGAGTGGAAAACAGAAATAAGACTGGTTTTGTTGAAGTTAACAAAATTGTTTTTCTTCCCTTGCTAACTACCAGTCCCCTCACCATTCAATCTACATTTTTAAAGCTTGGTAAGTCATCAGCTTGTTTTTAAATCAACATCAGGGCAATGTTTGCTCAAACATGATGTTTTTGAAAAGTCAAGTGGCCCAGAGACAGAACTTCTGTTTGCTCAAAGCGTGGCATTTGTTGCCTTTCTTGGAAAACATTTAAAAACAAGTTTTCCTGGAAAACATAACTTGACAAATATGGCTATGGAAACACTAATTCAGGAAGCTGATTATTTTTCAAAAGATTTTAATAATTGCATCTATCTAAATTTAAAGTTGATAAGGAGTCAGTAATTAAGAGACATGCAGGGAAGAAACATCAAATGGCCACTTTTAAATTGGAAAAGGTTTCTACTTCCTAAAGAACTCTCAATTTTAGAAGATGAAAAAAAGGTTTCGGGCATTTTTTTCTTGTCTATTTTTGTACAAAAATACACTGGTAAATGTACACACGTACAAGATGGACTCCTGCTAGTTTATCTTTTTTTTTTTCGCCTAAATTGGTGATGCAATTTTCTATATTACATTTGTGCAAAATGTTGTAGAGTTGAAATATAAACTCCTGAAATACACACTGATTAAATCCTCAATACTTATCATCAATTCTCAAAGTTTTTGTCAATATCCAACTTTTTGGGAACCAATTTCCAAAAACCCTGCTATGCTGCAGAAAGAATACATGTTATTACATGACCTGGAAATGTAACTGAATCCCTACCCCTGATTAATACCCAATACTGACACAACTCTACAGAATAGCAACTAAGTGGAATGTAGAAAGTTCCTGGCACAACTCTGACCTTTGAGATCACTGGCACACCAAGAAAAGTCATCCAGCTATAACATTGCTTAATGTCACTTTCAGTAGAAACTACAATATAGAGTGACTGAATGGCCAGTTGTGTTGACACCAAACTGTGCTACTGCGTGCTCTTGAAACCATCAGCACCTGCTCAGGCTCTCCTAACATGTGGTCCAAGTGTCTGGCAACGAGCAGAACAGTAGCTGCTGATGTTCCATCCGAGTTCCTTGGGACTGAGCAACTACAGTTAACTCTTAGTTATATCAAAGGGTTTGGGTTGGGTTACAAAACACTTAACAAACTAAGTTAATTCAAAAAGACTCTCAGAAAAAGGTCAACTACAAGCACAGATCAAAATAGTAGTAACTTCAAATTAATGATTTTAATTCAACAAAAAAAATTTCAAATCAGAAAAATAACTTAGTGACTCAAATTAGAGAAAATTTGGTGAACTAACAGAAAGATTTTTCTAATAGAATATAAAAACAATATTTATGAGGAAGATTTTCTACTTTTTGCTGCAAGTCAAGCCATAATCTTCTGAGGAGAGAGCATGACTATCTAGAAGTCGGACCTATCAATGAGTTTGAATTTCCCTCCCTCTAATAAAGCAGATCTAATAAGCAGCATATGTCAAGATATTCTCTGACTCTATACTGAACGTCCAGAGCAGCACCGGTACAATTCTCCAGCCTTATCCTCAAATCCTGTCAAATCCACTAGGAAAAGGGGCTGGTGGTAAAATGGTCTCAAAATGTGTCCAGAAGATTAGCCACATTGGCATCATGGAAAAGGATTGTGGTAATTAATAAAACTGAATCCACTGCAGGACGCAGGGTGGGGAGGCCACGGTGAAAGGGACAAACAGGAAGACAGGTGACAGCAGCGTGTTCTCTCAAGACAAGCTAATTGGAATCCTTCTTACTGAGATAAAAATGGCATGGGCCAGCCATACGGATAACGTGCTTTTTTATTGTTGTTGTTGACCTTCCTTTTCTTAGCTTATTTTCAGAGATAGGAAGAGAAGGGGAGAGCAAAAAAAGAGGAAAAAGTACGATGATGAATCAACTGCTATTAGGAGGGCTGCCAAATGTGACAGCAAGGAATGGAAGGGGAGCTGACAACACAACGGCTTAAGGCAGAATTGCAGAGGAAAGGTGAGGAAGGAGCATGGTGCTGAGTGCTAAATAAATATCGAGCAGATTCTGACGGTGGTTCTCACCACTCATTCTGAATCAAGCATTCTCTCTCCAAGTTAGGGTTCTCCGAGATGTCTCAGCTGCTAGTGATCGAGCATAAAGCCATTGATCACAGCCCTACTCTAACGTGATCTAGTTGTGACGGCCTCTGTCCCCGCTTGTGATGACTCCTGACTCTCAGCAGATCAACCTGCCTGCAGAGCTGCCCGTCGGGTGAAGCTGAGAGAAAAAGAAAGGTGATAACGCCCTGTCTCCTGAAGAATGGGGACTGCCTGATCCCTTTTCTCAGATGGAGAGAAGGGAAAAACACATCACTATATAGACTAAGAAAGAAAATTGATGTAACAAGCCATTTATGCTCTTGATCAAAAACAGCAGTGCCACAGTGTGTATGACATGCATCAGTTCCTGGAACCTGAACATGCCAGGCAAAAAGGATGTGAATCATGAGCTACCAGACCAGGAATCAAGAACCGAGGAATCCATAGCTAAAGTTAGCAGCAGAGCTGCAGCAGACTGATCTGGAAGTAACAACACCCTCAAATAAGCCTATAAAAGCACTACCAGTTCTAACTCATGCTATTTTGGCTTTGTTTTAAAAATGGAGACAACAATGTATGGGAAGATGAGATAATACGGAGCAGAAGAAATGAGAAAAATGAATGCAGAAGGGCATGACTCCTGTGCTGGCAGACCTGGTCTCTGAGTTCTCACAGGCGGCACTCCCCTCGGGTTTTATATGGTTCAGCTGAGGGTACTAAGAGATGGAAAGCAAGACAGAGTCGAGCAACAAAACCAGCACCATGCCTCAATCGGCTAATCCTTTCATTGCAAGCACCAGGATGCCATGAGGGCTCTGGTTCCTGTCCCAGCTGCTCCACTTCCATCCAGCTCCCTACTTGTAGCCTGGGAAAGCAGTGGGAGATGACCCAAAGCCTTGTGACTCTGTACCCGTGTGGAAGACCCGAAAGAAGCTCCTTGCTCCTGGCTTTGGATTGACTCAGCTCTGGCCATTGCAGCCATTTGGAGAACCAACAGATGGAAGATCTTTCTCTCTGTCTCTCTTCTCTGTGAAGCTCCTTTCCAATAAAAGCAAATAAATATTTAATGAAAATAAAAAAGAAGAAAGAAGAAATAAAAGAAGAAAAGAAAAAGATAAGATTATATCCGTCTGTTCAGTTCATCCATACTGCTTAAAGGGAGCTAAAATAACGGACGTGAAAGACAAGGCAGTTCTTGTATCTGAAACGAAGGCAGGAACACAACAAAACTGGGTGATGAATTAAGCAACTACGGAGTAAACCAGTGTAGGGCTTTAGAGATTAGCCTGGGTGCTGACACAAACAATTTAGAGAAGAATAAAGTAATGCAGGTTATTAGCGACGAAATTCAGAACGCCAGGAGGTTACTTTTCAGCAGGTCTGTGTGGGATCCACTGTCATTTACAGTTAGCTTAAAGCTTGCAGGTCAGTGCATAAATGCCTAAGCTTACTGAAAGT